TTTTAAGAATAATACTAAAACATATAAACTTAAAGAAAATTTCGATTAAAAATAATATTGACAGCTTTGATCATTTGGGAGAAAACGGCCTGACATAGATTATCTTTTTGATACTTCATTTAGTATAATGACCATAGGTACAGAATCATATATGTGTAGACATTAACTATGAACTACATAGCAATGGTACGTGCTTGAACAGTCATTCGAATGAACCAAAATTTATTTTACTAATAAGATTTACCTTTTAAAATTTGCAGTAGTAGTATAAAACTGGGGGGAGAAATCACCACCTAGGTGGTTCTTGCTTCTTGGGTTACTGCGCATGCGTGAAAGGGGAGATAAACGTGAAAATATGTTCAATGGCCTCCTGGGGGGCCACTAGAACCAAAAACAGGTCTTAACTCCATTGGCACCAAAAATTCCTGAAAGTCTGCGAGTGCCTCAGAATCAGTCGCAGACCACTAAAATGGACTCTAGAAGGTCCCCAGAAGTTAAAAATGTCATTATCTGCATTGGCACCAAAAATTCCTGAAATTCTGCGAGTGCCTCAGACGCAGTCGCAGACCACTAAAATGGACTCTAGAAGGTCCGCAGAAGTCAAAAAATGTCATTATCTGCATTGGCACCAAAATTTCCTGAAAGTCTGCGAGTGTCTTAAGAATCAATCGCAGACCAATGAAATAGACTCGGGAGAATCCCTAGATGCCAAAAATATCATTATCTGAATTGGCACCAAAATTTCCTGAAAGTCTGAGAGTACCTCAGACACAGTCGCAGACCACTAAAATGGACTCGGGAGAGTCCCTAGAAGTCAAAACTACAATTATCTGCATTGGCACCAAAAATTCCTGAAAGTCTGAGAGTACCTCAGAATCAGTCGCAGACCTCTAAAATGGACTCTACAGGGTCGCTAGAAGTCAAAACTACAATTATCTGCATTGGCACCAAAAATTCCTGAAAGTCTGCGAGTGCCTCAGAATCAATCGCAGACCAATGAAATAGACTCGGGAGAGTACCTAGATGCCAAAAATGTCATTATCTGCATTGGCACTAAAATTTCCTGAAAGTCTGAGAGTACCTCAGACACAGTCGCAGACCACTAAAATGGACTCGGGAGAGTCCCTAGAAGTCAAAACTACAATTATCTGCATTGGCACCAAAAATTCCTGAAAGTCTGCGAGTGCCTCAGAATCAATCGCAGACCAGTAATATGTACTCTAGAAGGTCCCCAGAAGTCAAAAATGTCATTATCTGCATTAGCACCAACAATTCCTGAAAGTCTGAGAGTACCTCAGATACAGTCGCAGACCAGTAAAATGGACTTTAGAAGGTACCCAGAAGTGAAAATGTCATTATCTGCATTGGCACTAAAAATTCCTGAAAGTCTGCGAGTGCCCCAGACTCTAGAAGGTCCTTAAAAGTAAAAAAAAAAAAAAAAAATGTCATTATCTGCATTGGCACTAAAAAATCCTGAATGTCTGCGAGTACCTAAGAATCACTCGCAGACCAGTAAAAAATGGTCTCTGGAAGATTCCTAGAGCTCAAAAATGTCATGATCATAGACCCAGTCTTAACCTCATAGACATCAAGAATCCTGAAAGTCTACGAGAATGCAACCAAACTATTCTATGACTTGAATACACTGAGAATTTTTGAAATGTCATTTTCCCACGATGTCTTCAAGTAATTTACATTTTTTGAACGTTCATTTACATTTAAAAAGGGTGTAAATTAAAACCACTCTATTAATAAAGAAACCTATTTCCTGCGCTGAATAGAAAATAACAAGATAAATATCATAATTTTCATTAAAATGTAAATTTTATACAGGTGTGAGGGGTCTATAACCTCGTCCATCAAATACGGCTATTGAAACGTTGACAAACTTAATTACCCCATTTCCCGTGTTTGAAAAGGTAGTATGATACACACCCGCTGATTTATAATTAAAATGTAAATTGTATACATATATGGTATGATACTACCCGCTGATTATAAAAAAGTAAAAAGTAAATTGTATACAGATATGGTCTATTTTCCCACGAGAAAATATTTGTTAAAAAAGTGTCTCTGGCAACCCAAATATTTCATTCTTTCAGTCGAACTTAAATAGTGAACATCTTAAAGCAAGTTAAATGTTTGAAAATATTATACGAAATATACTCGGATATAATAGTGTTTAAGTTACTGTTTTTATCAAAAACACATTGTATTAAAGATTTTGGCTTATCTGTGTATAGTGCATTTTACTTACAAACATGAAAAGAAGTCATAGTAGTGATGCTTCAAGTGATAGCAGTGATGAAGAAACTTACGGACAGATGTGTGAGAATGAAAAAGATAAAGAAAAGTTACTGTCCTGTCAAGTGTGTTTTAAAAAATATAAAAACAGACAAACGTTAAAACGTCACATGCAAACTCACATAAGCAATCGTAAATGTGAATTGTGTGAAAAAGCATTTACGAGACTAGAGAGCTTACGAAAACACCAAAAGAACATTCATGGAATACATCACGAGAAGAAGCAAAGCACGACTTCTTTCCTTTGTGAATTGTGTAACAAATGTTTTAAAACGAAATATAATCTTGTGCGACACAAAAGTAAGGTGCATCAGTCTGCTACTCCTAAGCAGCAACAAAATCAGTTTTCCTGCCGACATTGTGAGATGGAATTTTAAAGTTACGACAAATTATTTCGTCATGTAACTCAGAGACATCCATTAAATCAACAAGGAGGAAGGAGTGCGGAAAGATCTCGCACACTTGATGTAAACGAGCCCATGCAGGATCACACTGAACTGCAAGTCAATGTTGCAAATGATAAGACTGAGGCTGACGATGTTGCAGTCCATAAACAACGTCCTGAAAATCAGTTACATGAAACCACTGATGAATCAGCTTTGAGGAACGGCGTGCAGAACAGACATATTTATCCAAGAGGCAGTGAGAGATACGATTTAATGATTTTTTTCGGTAACATCCGAGATCAAATCACCACATTTTTACGCAATCGTGTACGCATACTTGGAGGTATTAAATGGAACCTATGCGTGCAAATAGAAATGCAGAGAGATGATGGAGAAGACGCTACAGTTACAGCGCCATTTTTTAGAAGTCGTACTTACTTCACTTTGTCGGCGGAGGATCTAAATGAGCATGACTTGAACGAGGCTATGCAAAAGATGTACGCGAGTCTTGAAAAATACATACGTGAAGGGTCGGGCTGGTATGTTAAAAAAGTTTTGAAACTCGAAATTCATACTGTGGTATACAAACCTGTAAACGGCTCTGCTTACATTCCTTTACCAAAGTCACTGACCTTAAGTCACAGTCTATTGAACATTGAAAACGACGACGATAGATGCTTCTTGTACTGCCTACTTGCTTCTCTACATCCAACACAGACAGAGCCAGAACGTGTAGATAACTATTACCAGCATGAGAGTGAAGTCGACATGCGCGGTATCACTTATCCCGTTACTATACCGCAAATACGCAAGGTGGAAAATCAAAATCAAAATATGTCCATCAACGTATTTACCTGCGAAGAAGATTTGATCGTACCTCTAAGGATCACAGAGCATCGTCATCGTTTACATCACGTGAATTTATTGTGGTTGACCTGTGGAGAAAAGTCTCATTATTACTTAATTATGGACTTGAACCGCTTTCTGTCACGCTCAAAAACACATCGCGCTCAGATGTATTTTTGTTCTTATTGCTTGCACGGATTTTGGAAAGAAAAGTCCTTACAGGAACATGAACAATTTTGTTCAACCCATGTAGCGCAAAGAATAGAACTTCCTGTAAGCGGTAAAAATGATATTCTTGAATTTAAGGATTACGAAAAAACTTTGAAAGTCCCCTTCGTCATCTATGCCGATTTTGAAACGATTAACAGAAAGCTGCACACCTGCGCTCCAAATCCTAAGCATTCCTCCACCACAGCGACAACAAAACTCGAAGTCTGCGGATTCGGATATAAAGTGGTGTGTGAAGATGAGAAATACACCAAACCTGCTGTCATTTACAGAGGTGAAAATGCCGGGATGAAAATGATTGAATGCTTGTTACAAGAGCAGGAGGAAATAAAAGAGATACTTTCAACCATTGAACCTATGCATTTGACAGAAGAACACGATGACCTCATTGAAAACGCCACACACTGCTGCATTTGTAAAAAAGATTTCTCCATTAATGATAAGGGCTATGGAAAAATAGTCAGACATCATAACCATCTGACAGGGGAGATCATTGGTCCAGCTTGTAACAAGTGTAACCTTAATTGTGAGCAGGCAAAATTTACTCCTGTGATATTTCATAACCTGAGAAACTTTGACGCGCATATTTTATGCGAAAGCCTCGGCCTGTTTAAAGACTTTCCTCTCAGATGCATTGCTCAGAATTCTGAACGTTATGTCAGTTTTTCTCTCGGTAAGCTTAGATTTATCGATAGCTTCCAGTTTCTTCCCGCCTCATTAGAAAGTTTGGTAGACAATCTAGCGCAAGATGGATTACAAGCGTTTCCATCCCTTCTGTCAGAATGCAACTCTGAGGAGGAAGCCGAGCTCCTGCTTCGAAAGGGAGTCTATCCTTATGACTATATGGACTCCTTCGACAAGTTTGACGAGTCATCACTACCATTAAAAGAAGAGTTCTATTCCACCATTAAAAAAGAACATATTTCGGGGGAAGATTACGATCATGCGCAGGCTGTTTTTGATAGATTTAGTATGACGTCATTAGGAGAGTACCACGATCTCTATTTGAAAACGGATGTACTGTTACTGACTGATGTATTTGAGTCCTTTCGAGAGGTATGCTTGACACAGTATGAGCTGGATCCCTGTCATTTCTATACATCACCAGGTTTATCGTGGTCGGCTTTACTGAAGAAAACGGAAGTTCAGCTGGAATTACTCACAGATATTGATAAAATACTCATGGTGGAGGCTGGCATTCGCGGAGGTTTGTCACAGATCTCCAATAGATACAAGAAGGCCAACAATCCATATCTGGAGGAATATGACACATCTAAACCCCTGACCTACTTACAATATTTAGATGCCAATAATCTCTACGGGTGGGCTATGGTACAGCCCCTTCCCATAAGCGACTTTAATTTCATGGAAAAAGAAGAAATTGGAAACTTTGATGTCATGTCTATTCCAGAGACTGGAGACTTTGGCTATATACTTGAGGTATCACTTCACTATCCTCACAGGTTACATGACCTTCACAATTGCCTCCCTTTAGCGCCAGAGCAGAAGGTTATCTCCAATGAGCAACTCTCACCATATGCGCAACAATTGTTAAGAAAAGTGTATGGTTTAAACGATGCTGATCCATTACCTACACGAGGTCAAGAAGGGAAGTTACTGGCGACTTTAGAGGACAAAAATAAGTACATCCTGCATTACAGGAACTTACAGTTATACTTACTGCTAGGGATGGAACTCAAAGCTGTCCACAGAATTTTAAAATTCAGACAAGAAGCCTGGATGAAACCTTACATCGACTTTAATACAGAGATGCGTAAGAAGGCCACTTCCAACTTTCAGAAGAACTTTTACAAATTGATGAACGTTTCCGTCTTTGGGAAGGTCAGTGTGTGTAATTGTTTTTTATAATGTCTTTAGATATTTTTACGAAGTTTCACCGTTAATAATTTTATTATGAACAAAAAAATCTTTTTTTATTTATAATTTATTAATCATTGAGAAAAAAAAATCAGAAAACTTTATACGTTTTTAATAAATTATTCTTTTCGTTTTTATTGTCAGTGGAAATAGAATTTGAGCTACTCTTTTTTATTTTTTTTATCACTCTTTTTTAAGACCATGGAAAATGTGAGGCGTCATAAAAACATTGAGCTGGTGCATACAGAAGAAAGACTTTTAAAAGTCACTGCAAAACCAACCTACAAAAATACAACCATCTTCAATGAAGACCTCGTAGCCGTTGAACTGCACAGAGCAAAAGTTGACTTGTTCAAACCTATCTACTGTGGCATGTCCATACTAGGTGTGCGCTATTTTTTCTTTTTTTTTTTGTTCTTGTAATAATATTTTTACATTCTTAAATAATATTCTACAGTTTTTTTAACAGTCTTTTTTTTTTTAAAATGAAGCGTGTTTTTACGACTTCCATGAATTAATTAATTTATTCATTTATTTTCAGACTTAAGCAAATGTCTTATGTACGACTTTTGGTACAATTACATCAAAAAGCGGTATGAGCAATCAGCTCAGCTTCAAATGACGGATACAGACAGCGTCTTATTTTCTTGTGAAACTGAAGATATGTATAAAGACATGGAATCCTCTGCAGAGTTCTTTGATACGTCTGATTATCCAAGAGAACACTTCCTTCACAGCGATAGGAATAAAAAAGTTCTTGGCAAAATGAAGGACGAGACCAATGGGAAACCTATTTCTGAATTTGTTGGTCTTAGATCTAAAATGTACAGTTTTGTGTGTGATAAAAAGGAAGAAAAACGTGCTAAGGGTATCGCTAAGGTTACAGTAAAAAAGGATTTGAAACACGCGCACTATAAAAATACTCTTTTAGATGAGACCAGTGTTGTTTCTTCTATGTCATCCCTGAGGAGCCACAAGCATGAACTTTTTGGCGAAACTATTCAGAAAACGGGATTATCCGCCTTTGACGACAAGAGATATCTCATTAATGCGGTGGATAGTTATGCGTATGGACACTATAAAATCTCTGACGATAGTGTTGATATGGCGCCTGAAAGTGATGCACAGACATTTACAGTTGCGCCTGTAGAGGACTATTCAACCAATCATGCTGCTCGTTATCAAATGCTAGAGGAAAATGCATTTACGATTGGTGACTTTAAAATCACTCCTTGTATTAAACAGTAAATACTCATTTTGTATCTATGTACAAATAAATTATATTTCTATTTAACAAATGAACTATACTAGATATCAATAAAATAATGACAAACTATCGTCTGATTTTTTCTCCCTATTTATTTATATATAAAACGTATTGAATAATTAAAAGCATCCTTTTAAAAAGCTACATGCCTGATTAAAATGTTCATTCCCTATACAGTGGGAGTATGCTTGCAACATCGTGCCAGCCACATAATTGTCATTAGAATCTAAAGTGAATCCATCAAATCAATTTATAATGTCTTGATATGTATATCCAACGAGTCTTTGATGGAGAAACAATATACAATATAGTCCACATAATAATGAGTGATCACCCTGAATTTGAACATGATTTGACTGTAAACTGTATGCTTTCATGTCTAACCAACGCTGAAAATAATGGCTGTTTTGACTTGGCGTTCTTCCATAACTGTCAAAAAATTCCACATCTCCTTGAACATCGCTGAAAAAGGCGCACCAATGTTTTCCTGGTTTTGTATGAATGTCAGTGTTAGCAATAAATCCATAGGGTGTTCTTGGAAGTTGCCTAGGAAGTTTGTCTGCAGCAAAAACGCCGATGATTCGTCCATTTAAAACTGGATCACAATTAATCATGCATTCCAACTGTGACGTATTCATTTGTTTATGGAATAATAATATCTCTTTCGTGATTGATTTCAAAATAGCCAGGCCCTTCGCTGTAGGCAAGGCAGCTTATAGGTTCTGAAATACGATAAAAACAAAAAAAAATCATAAGTAAAAGGGTTTTTTTCTATAAGAATTCAAGACTTGAAGTAAAATAATATCTAAACAGGAAAACTTACATATATGTATATATATATTAAAAACTAAATACATTGAAACTAAAATAAAATTAGAAAAAAAATATTCTTACCTGTTAATGGCGTCTTGAAGACCACATCTAGCCGCACATTCCCCGTCTTTACAAGAGACAGATATTCTCCGTGATGTGAAAAGTTGGGCTCTAACTGGAACACGAACAAGGTTGAGCCGCTTAAATAGTGGCTCCTGTCTAGGAGATTGCCTTCGTCCTGTCTCCACTTTCCACTGGATAGAAGCAAGTTGGTGTAGGCGCGCATGATTGCCGTGCCTCCAGCAGCGTCAAAATCAAGTTTCAATGGATTTCCTCCAATGGGCAGTCCATCGCAGTATATGGCAATTTGTTGAATGGAGCAATTCTCAAAGTTGAAAGGGTTGGTCTTGTAATCACCGCTTAACGCCCTGCTTTTGACAAATCCCAAGATGATTTTGTTGGGACGTCTTCCTTGAAACATATTTTCCCAGCTATAATTGGTTAAGCCAGTAGACATGCTCACTGATCTCACCTCCACTTTATCGTAGGGGTATAAGGCGTTCTGTTTCTCCAAAATCTTAGAATGCCCGTAGATGACGGCAGGGTTTACTCTGATTTTTCTAGCGAGAATATAGATATCCTCGATATTCACTTTGTAATGACTACCATCTCCAGTGAGCAGACAAAATTCGGGTGGACTTCTATACAGTTTCACTTTCACATCTACTTGATTTATCAAATATCTCTCCATGGAAAACAAGTCGTGAAAAATAGGTCCTTGCAAGTCAACGCGTTTAGATTCGCCGATGATTTGGGCTCTCAGAAACAGGCCGTTGTTATTTCCGTTGGGATCTGTCACTCCTGGACTGTCTGCATCGTCTCTGATAAAAAGCTGCGTATCCAGCTGACTGGTTATCGCGTCTGATCCATAATTCAGAAGCGTTTGCATGTAAGCTCTATAGGGGTTGTAATTACACGTGATGGTGGCTTTGTTTTGCAAAGTGACTTCAGCCGTTGAAAATAGTGACTGAAGAAACAGATTGGCAGGCCCCACCTTCTCCACCTTTACATTCGTGAGAGCCGTCCCATCTGACTTTTCTACCTTTAGTCGCACATAGATTTGTGAATTTTTCAAGTCCAGATAATCCATAGAGTTTTGCCCGCTGATTTTAAACTCAAAAGGGCTATCGCCAGACACCTGAGATAGTGGCCGAATTTCATCGTAGTAAATATCATTCACACTCGTTTGTGTGCTGGGCAAATCAAACAAAGCCAGCTCAGACACAAGTCCTTCTTTAAACTTCTCTTCATTGAACACTGACATTCTTTAGTTGATTTCAAATATATCCTTTTCCCTTTTTGCGCGCGATTTTGTCTTTCCCTTTGAAAATGTTTTTTTCTTGGATTGTGTCTTTTTCTTGCCACTACCACGTTGACGTTTAAGTCCTTTATACGATTTTTTGCTAGTTTTCTTGCGCTTAGTTCCACGTCTCTGCTGCCTAGATGAAGACTGAAGCATGTCAACAACACTCGCTGGATTTATATCCTCCCTCTCTAGCTCAGATTTAGCTTGAGCAGTCGTTTGTTCTGCTGGTAATACCGCCTTTAGTGGATACACTTTATTACTGTCCACAGCTTTATATTCGTCCACAGGAATGACAGAAAAAACACCTCCCACCTCCTGATTGGTTTAATGTCGTTTTTCCACTGCTGACACGATCAAAAAAATCCACCCACTTTTGTGGATTAGGCACATACAATTTCATGTTTTAGTAAAATGGATATTGCTTCAAATGAAGTGTTAGGTGCAATGGTGATTTTAAATATGACGGGTAACTACCATCTCCAAGCTTTATATAGATCTGAAATTCTCGCAGCTCCTTCCTTTTCACGGGTAGATAGTAAGGCGTGTTGAACATATAATTCCAACCGTTTCTTTCGTTTTTATCCAGCCGTCGCAACAGCGGTTGTTCCGCGCCATGCACAATACTTTCTTTGCAAAGGTCCGTGTAAATGTATAGGCTGTCCGTCGTTTTAGTTCTAGACTTAGAATCGTCTGCAGCGTTAAACTCTGTGAGCGCGACTGCCCATTTACCATTTAAAGTCAATGACATATTTAAATGCACTTTAAATCTGTACACTTCATTGTCAGAAAAGTAGTTGTCACTGTCGTCACTTTTGATGTATAAATATTTATCCATGGTGTTTATGGAACGCGTTCCAAAACGTCTTTGATGTTAGTTGAAATTGATGCAACTATTTAATTTAGAAAACTAATCGTTATTCGTCTGCCATATACATCGTGTCACTTTCAGCAGCTATGGTTTGGTAAATGTACTGAGGACGTAGTACTCTAGCTAGCAATGAATGATGTCTAAGTAGCGCTCTCATTTTTCTTCGTGTGTTTACTTGCCTAGACCCTATAGTTCTCATGGTGAGTTTTTGATCTTCAAAGATATAAGCATCGCGCTGGTTAATGGGGATAGACCTAGTTGTTAATCTTCTCATAATTTCAGCAATGGCATCTATTTGTCCAGCAGTTATTTGACGAATTAAATGACGACGAGCACTTGCTACCGCATTTTTTAAGCTAAACAAATAATTCAGTTCTTGAAACACTCGCGAGCGTTCCATGATAACATAAGATGTTTATGCTTTACCTTCAGACACGTCTTTGACGTCGTCAGCATCTACCCAGCTATTAAACGTTTTAGGGAAGCCTTGCCATTCCACAAAATATTGCAGTTTCTTATTTCTTTTTCGTCTTCTTAATATACGTTCTATGAACCATAAACTATTTTCATCTTTGTTTACCTTTTGAAGTTCGCCTGTGTAAAACAAACCCTTTTATACTGTCACCTTTTAAATCTGTTATCTTGTACATGGGAATACCTTGTTTTAGAATTCTTCCCGCCACTTTAAACACTTCTGTGGTGTATTGTTCTTGATAAGCACGTTGAAAGGGTTGTTTTGTGAAACTAATACGTACAAGATCTCCCACTTTAAACTGAAAACTAGGCTTTGCTGTTCTTGTTTTTGACTTTTTCAAATACATTCGCGCCCACACATTAGCTTCATTTCCTTTGTTCACATCGTTTGGAGCTAATCCATGTAACCCCCTGTGAGGAGTAGCGTTGTAGCTGGCTACCACATCTTGTAGATCATCGATATATCGATAGGTTCTATTGTGTCTCATCATTCTATACAATTTCTCTTTCAGTGTCCTCTGAACTCTTTCCACAAAGTTACTTTTGGGAGGATTGTTTGTGGTGAAAAAGTCCTTCATATACTTCTTAAACCACTGGTTGGAAAACTCGCTCCCTTTATCCGCGCGAACTTTCTGAATTTTCGTTGGAGAAATGTCCTGCAGAATGTCTTTCATAGCTTTTAAAACCACCTTGGCCGTCTTGTTTTTTAGAGGTCTTACCCAAAGTTTTCTAGATAAGATGTCAATGACGCAAAGCAGGAATCGTACGCCATCATTTTCGTCAGCTAGATTCGCCATGGACAGAAGATCTATATCTAGCTGTTCCCCAATAGAGGTGACACGCACATTCGCCGTCTTAAATTTGTGTCTTCTGGTTTTCTGCAGTGAATAAGCGTCTTGGTCGTTGAGCCATTGTTTGATGTAAGCTTTTGTAAATACTCCTGAATATTTCTTATCAAGAACTTGGAACACCTTTTGAGCACCCGCATACGCGGCGGGATTTTTTGTCTCAAAATAATACTTTTGTAAAATGTTATTTTTCTCTTTCTCATCCATGTTATTCAGTTACTGTTATTCTCACGAAATGAACGAAAGCTTTACATGGTTTCCTTATTTGAACTGGACTATGTTTTTTTTTTCTTTCACCTTTTCACATTATATAGTGTAATTAATCCATCGTGATTTTATGCCTTTCTTCTTTGCACTAGACAATTTCTTTCCGTCAAAATTTCTTTTCGCTATCTTTCTTTGTTTGCCTTTAGAAGGTGATAATTTTATCCTGTTGAAAGGCATCCTGGAGAGTGGTTTGTCTACATAGAATCTTGGTTTCTCCTCCATACTTTGCTCATTTTCACCTTTGCTATTGCTTATGTGCTTCTCCTCGGAATCCATGTTTTCTGACCCAAGATCAGGATAAGACAAGTCTTTATTCTCTCTTTGACCGCCGATTTGTTCCTTCAGTTTAGAATCTTCCATAAGTTTCACTAAATGTTCGTATTTACTTTTGGGAATGAGCACAAGCTCACGCGCCATTACTTTATAACAGTTCGCTTTTGACTGCAGCAATAAAAGGTAAAATATATTTGAAGTATTTCAGAAGCAGTTCTTTTCTCTTTTTCAACGAAAGTCCTTTGCTCACAAATTGCCGAATGATAAGTTTTCGTTTGATTACATGCTTTTTGTCTTTTTCTGTCAGTGGGCGAACGCCAATCAGGATATTATACACAATCTGCACAATAGCGCTTAACTGCAACTTCTCAATGTTTTGTATTAAAACCTTCTTCTGTTTGTCAGATGTATGGAGAAGTAACAATAAAAAATCCTTCTCTTTTCTAATCAAAGGATTCATGCTGCCTTTTCTGGTTGATAAACTATCATTAACTGACCAGGCAATATGTTGGTGCGAAGTTTATATTTTGGGTCTGAATGTGGAGATAGATCCACCAGGAGATATCTATATTTCTCCGCAGTAGCCTTCTTGTACGCGTCCATAAAAAACTTTACTCGCCCAGGGAAGATTTGACGTCCTAAAGTCTGTATTTGTAATTCATCTCGGCTGCTTTTAAACAAAAAGAAATAATGTGTGTTTAAACTGATGGTGCGAAATTCGCGTCCTGGACAAAATGCGTTTTGACAAATAAGAAAGCAGAAGTATTTGTAATGGTGGGCATATTTGCAATAAATGTCGACTACATCTTTGCTTTTGGCGCTCTCACTCATTAAGTCATCAATGACTAATATTTTTTCTCTTGGCTCATTCATGTGCCAAGTTTCAAGTTCAGCTTTTGTGGGAAGTCCTTCATAAAAGGTAATGCTGGGAATGGCTTTCTTCACTTCAGCATAGAGAGGTTGATCTACACTATAGCAGTAATAGATGGCTTTAATTGGTTTTGTGAAAGCTACGTTGGCATGTTTCAATAGTTGAAACACGAAACTACTTTTTCCAACATTGCTCGGGCCTACAAAGAAAAAAGAAATAGAAAAATCATTGATAAAGTTTGTTTTTATTAAAAAATAATCTTCATATATATACTAAATTAGAAACCGTCTAGTAACGATGTTGTCAACAACAGCAATGAAATGTAGAACTAACCTATTACTTGTGCTGTAGAATCTACTTCTAGTTTAACATATAAGTCATCCATTCTCTCTCAAGTGATGCAACGAAAATGACATCAAGAAATACTTTTCAAGATATATTTATATAAGAGGAGGGAGGGCTAAAAGGGACGTAGTTTGCAAAAAAAAAGTAACATCTTGTGAAAGTTTATAATGTTTATTAGCAGCAACCTTCAGATACAATTTACATATCAAGATACATTAAAACATTTACAAATACGTTTTCACAACACATCTTAATGATTCACTAAACCGTTATCTGATCCTTTTCAACAGCAAATAGTTTTCACTCGCTCTAAATAAGTTAACTGAATCGGTTTTCCAGTGAAAGCAGTCGCAAACTCATTCTTATCATTTTATTTTTCCACTCTAAAGTTGCCATGTTCATTTCGCGCCAGTCTTTCCAGTAGATCTTTAGCTCCTATAAATCCAGTAGCTCAGAAGATACATGAAGGACAGAAGCAACTTCGTGCAATTTCATTAAAATCTTAAACTCATTGACTTCATGCAGAACATCATTGAAATATAACGTTAATTGTTGCTTATTTGATAAATTGATGCACATATGATCCAGTTGTGATAAACAAGATTGTTGACATCCGAAACACTTCTTTTTAAACACAGAATAGATTTTCTCACGTATTTCTTCGGCGTAGAAAAAGTCAAAATAAGATTTCAGTAATGAAACTTTACTGAGCTCCATATTTCTGTTACATATAGCTTAGATATCCACATTCACTGAGGAAAATGCACCATAACCCCAACACCGTGGTTGATTATCTGATGTTGTCCCTGTAAGCCCAGTTAGTTTTAAATAAACGCATTCAGATGACCACTTTAGGTGTTCAGCAAAGGGAGTATCATTAACACTCCACTGATACACTCTAGCTCCGCAAGCAAAACATTCCACTATATCTCCCTCCTTGGTGTAAAAGAATCCTGCATTAACTAAAGTATATTTATCCTGTTTCAGTTGTTTGGGCCATGTTTCAAAAGTA